TATCCGATTAATAGTTTCTTAGTTATAGCAGTTTTAATTTCTAGAAAAAAGGCATGAAAACAATATTAATATTAAATAAAATAACACGTTAGGCAATAAGTAGAAAAATAAAAAGTTATTTTTTTCAATGATTAAGGGATGAAAATAAAAATTTAATTTTTCTCTACATATGTGTTTTCTAAAACCCGAAAAATGAATATTGACAAAGTTATTAGCATATGAATATTACTTTAGAATACCCTGTTCTATATAAGTTATATATTATAATCATTAAACCAAATTATTGATAGACTAAATGCTAAAAAAATAACATATTAAATTTTAATAAAACCGTCTTTATGGCATTTTCCATTTACACTTGTCAATTTCCGTATGATGAAATTAAAATCATTAATAACTTATTCAATCCTTGCAGCTGTAAAATAACAAGAGTATACAGAATAAGATACTTAATCTTTGACCAACATATCATATATGAAATGGCGTTTGCACATAAACAATATGACTATGCGCCTACGGACAATTATGTACAAGTTATATTGTTTGAGAAAATTAATATCATTAGAAACTATGCGTATTATGACAAATATATGTATTTATCTCTCCACCATTCTATATATCAGTATGGCATAATAGCTTGGGTAGCATCTGTGAATATGCTATCAAGCCATTAAATATACAACAAAATAAAATCGTTCGTATTTGTCTTAATAAAAGTACTTTAGATCAGAATACCAAAATAAATTATAAAGATTTTGGCGTTTTACCTATTAATTTACTCTACAAAAAATTTGCAATTTTGTTTATAATGAAAAAGTTCTCGATAAGTAATAGTATATATTCTAAACGTAATAGGACATATAATATTTTAATTACCTATACTAATAAAAATATTGAACAAAGATTCATTGACTATTTTGGAATCGACTATTTTTAATTCAATGTCGTTAGATGTAAAAAAAAACATTTAAAATGTAATCTTTCATCTAATCACAAAATAACTAATATTAATTGGCTTCTCAAGAGACTATAATTTTTATTTCTAGGTATTAGTACTTCTATGTTTGTATAATTATTTTTCTATTATTATTTAATTTACTCAACTTAAAAATGTTATAATTATTTTTCTTTTTGCGCTGTATATAATGTATAATTCATAAAATGTAACTATACAACTAATATAACTAATACAACTATATAACTAATGTTTTTTTACTTCAATAAAAAAAATATATACATGTTATATGATAGTTTACTATTATCATACTAACTACTACTATTTTGTTTACGCCTAGCTTATTATTATCACTTGTCCTGTTTTCTCTGTTCATACATTTCGCCTCTCCTGCAGTGCTCTGCTATAATACCAAACTCTTTCTTCAGATGACATGAAGTATATCTACACATGTACTGAATTGTCGACTGTCACCTTCTACTTCATCAATCGATTACTTACGGCTTGTCTTTGAACATCTCCAAATACTCTGTAATTACCTTTACCGCTTACGTTTACCAATAATTTTTCCCTACCAAACTAATAATAACTCTATAAAACGCGCAAGGGACTCAATCCACGACCTGGGTTTTACACTCACTCGCAATCTCTTACCATTAAAATACATTGAGACAGTACGGTACATACAACCCCTGTATGTAGTTAGGATTTCAATACATTGCCGGCTTCGTACTTCACACTTCTCTTCATTTCTAACTGAAACTTCCCCTCAATTAGGCACTATACTTCGCTCTAGTGTACCCCAAACTCCAGTATGGATTCCATACTATGAAAGCGTCCTCTATGAATCCCCTACTGCGTACGCAAGTGCTATGGTTGAGTTCAAAATCACTTTCTTCGTACGATTGCATCAAAACTCAATTAACATTCCTTACTATTCCCGTCTCTCCATGACTATTCTTAAATCGAATGTCTCTTTAATCTCTCTAATAATCTCACCAATCACAGATATGCATAGTAGTTTATTCTCCAGCAAACCTCCTTAACAATTCCCCCAATTATCTAGCTGATGATCACTACTAATCACGTATCTATTTACTATTAAACCCTTTAATTTCTAGTATCCTAGTGTTAACCAATATTCACCGACAGTGGCGTTCAAATAATTTTGTAACAGCTATTATTATTTACATAATTTTTTTCATAAGTATTGAAGGAAATTGTGGTCATGGAGGGATATACCCCCTACCCCCCTGACCACTAATAGCGTATACTTAGGCTTTAATTTTAGTTTATATACATGCATGTAAATATATTATTAAGCACAATATGTACAAACATACACACACACACCGTCGAAACGAAAAATAAAGGCGACAACGACGACCGGTTTCGTTTTGCGGGCGTGTTTACGCGGTATCTCACTCGCTCAGAGCACGCGTATTAAATAGGTGGTACCGCCTATTATAATAATATTATATTATGCCCGTATTATAATAATAATAATAACACAATCGTCGTATGCACCACATTATGCGACCAGAGGTCATCAGTTAGATAGGTAAAACAGACTGTATTATAATATATTACATATTATATAAAACACGTACCTATGCGGCCCGTGGGAGTCGTCGTCGTCGCCGACAACGACAACTTGTTATGTTCGGCGGCGGCGAGTACGCCCACGCAACACGTACGCCCATTAATAATATGGTTTCGCCATTCAGTGTGTGTGTGTGTGTGTGTGTGTGTGTGTGTGTGTGTGTGTGACGTCTGTGTATGCGTGTGCCCATATATTATTATCTCTTATTAACTCTACGGGCCTAACCTAACCTCGTACACGCGTCGGCGTTATCAGTTTAACGTTATCTATGCCGGTTAAACACGTCGTCGTTACCGCCGCCGCCGCCCGCATGATATTTCAGCGCGCGGAGGTTCGTTCCGCAGTATAGATTTCACGTCGCCGCCGCGTTAATAAAGTCCTCTCGTGCGCACCTTTCTTTTCCGCCTTTTTTTTTTTTCTTTGCTTTACGTACCTATTATTTATTTATTCGTTTATGCCCTCACTCCGCCAACCGCCGTGATAAACGCTCTCTCACGGCCACCCACTCTCGGGAGAATCTCGCGGCAACCTGTTGTGTGGTAAATACTCATGTACCCTGTCGAGTCGAGGTGGCTACGCGATATTCCGCTCTAATAATGTAATACGACTAATAAATAATATTGTTGTTTGTTTGGAAATTCAGTGCAAATGTATTATAGGCAAACAATGTTTATGGTATCCATGCAAAAGATGTATACGCTAGTACGTCGCATATGGAGACTCATAGATGTAAAATGTTTGGCAACAATTAGTTTGCGTACATTTTAAAATGTCTTTTTAACACCTGAATTTTCTGTAGAAGTATTTCCAATGACAAGAGAAAATAAAGCATATAAATGATTTGGATGGGGGTTGAGAGTTTTATAACAATTCTAAAGAAGATAAAAATAACCTTCCACCCTCTATGACATAGTTAAATTCATATTAAAATTCAAACCAACTTTTACCAATTCAATCCGCCTACTTTAATTCCCGGAATGAACTCATTTGGTCCAGACTAAGCATGGAGCCGCAAAAAAGTTCAAAAATAGCTTGAAAAAAATGTACAAATAAAATATAATATTATAGTCTCTACTTTCATGGAGACGGCGAAAAATTGTAACACAAAACATTTTCTGTTGAATATTTAATTTTGATTAAAAAAAATAAATGAACAATGAATCCATTGCATTATGATCATTTCGCCAATATTTTCTCCGGTATTTTCTAAAAATGGACTTTGTTTACACATATGCTTACTGCTCATTTAAATATATAATCTATGTGATTTATATATAACTTAGGTAGGTACATAAAATCAATGCAACCTAAATTTTACTTCTAAAAATCTTAAAATATAACAATTTTGTTACTTTTGGATACGTGGAATCCAAATTTTTTACCGATTTTAAAATAAGTCCCTTAATTAAGGGATAGTTGAGGGTGTTTTTTAAGATTTAACACACATTTATGAAGGATTTTAAAGGGTACCGGAGCCAAATTTGTTATCAGATTTAAAATCAATTAGGAAGATTAAAGGGCAGAACTACGTTTAATGTGATGCAAAAATGAGCAATTTACACTTTAAGAACTATTTTCAATTTAATAAATTATAAAATATATTAATTAATATTTGTATTTTATTTTATTATTCTACAACCAGATGAAAACCCAATTATAATATTATTATAAGTATTATTATTATTATATTTTATTGCTTCACATAAGATAACGAAGTCAAAAGATTTTTTCTATTATTACATTACACAATAATGAAAAATATTTACATAAAACTTCAAAAACTAAACAGATATCAAGGTGCGTATCCAAAAATATTTTTAGAGGAGGGCGGGCAGACAAACTTTCTTTACAGATTCCATTTCAAGGCCTCAGAACCCAAAAACCAGAGACAATTTACTATTTTACTTGAGTAAATATAGGTAAACACATATTATAATAATATAATAATATTTTTAGTTATAAATAATATTTGTAAATGTGAATCTACTGATTCACATTTTAAATTAATAAAATAAGCATCTATATAATGCTCATAGACAGAAAAAGGCAAACAAAAATTATAATAATTAATTCTACAATATCTGTATTTTATAAAAATTATACTAAGTAAATACACATTTTTCCATATTTTTATTCATATTCGTTTTATAAATAGAAATTAAATTTTTAATTAAATTGTATAAATTTTCATAAATATCAAATTAAAATTATTTATTGTAACGTTCTTCCATCTGCACATTCCATTGTATTTAAAAATATACTTAAAATAATTAAAAATTCAATATATCATGTATGTATGTACTGTTTGTAGCAAAATGAAATGAACATATGAGAATGAAATTAATAAAGCTATAATTCTATATATTATAAGCATTATCTAGGATTTAATAATATACGAAAATATGACAATTATTTTATCAAATTAACAAACGAATGGATGTGTATAGAAGTATATAATAATATTCAAGCTGTGTAATTCATTAATTCATTTTAGACCATTGTGCGTTGGTATGATTATGTGAATCATATAATGTGATTTACCTTCCAAACTTCCCAGTTCTCACCTACAACAAATGCCTACACATAATGCAAAGGAATTGTTTAGAAAAATTAGATAGGTAGTAGGTGCCTTATAAGTATTGCATTTTAAAATGTTGGCAAATATAAAATAAGATCTAAATAATCCTCACACTACGCAGGCCTCATACCTGCAATACTTAGAAGGAATTATGTATAGGCAATTTTAACGACATTTAAGGTTCTGAGTTGAGCGAGAAATGTATTGGTTCCACAATGATGCTTATATTTTTTTTTGTCTGTCAACATCTTTTCTGTCAACAACTTTGCTACAATTTACAACGATAGCACTTTTTCTGAAAAGAAATCTGACTGAAGCGGTACTTTAGGGACGTTATTATTTGATTTTCCCGAGAGTTTTCCCAATGAATGGGAAAAACCGATAAAAAACCTGGTAAACCATAGGAAAAACGGGAAAATATATGCTATGTTAAATAAATATTATCAAAGAAAATGTTTGATGTTTGATTACCACAATACATATGTAAATATTTTACCATAATATGACATATATATTGTTAATAAAGTAACACTATTAACCGAAATCCGCTCAGAGTCGTTTTTTAGTTAGCAATGGTTAATTATTGCGCACAGATATACATTAAATTTCTTCTCTACTGCCTTCCCAACTTCTCACCTACAACAGCGGCACACGAACGAAATATGTCCGTCTTTTTAAAAACAAATTTTTCTCTAAAAAATTAAAATTCACAGATTCGTAAGCATATAATACAGAAAGAACATCTCGTACATACCGTACGAAACAACGATTTTTTGATATAAAATTTTTTATTTCAAAACTCTCATGTTAAGACTTAAGTTGTAGCCATAATTTGTTAACTAATGTATCCAAAAATTAAATATAGAAAAATAGCCAACTGTACCTTATACTTAGATACATTATACAATATTGTGTGAGTTTGACAAAGTGAGTGGCTCATTTTGAACCTACCTATGTATTGGATTCTCATGGTTTCTGTGTATGCCTCTTTTTCTCGCTTGCTCTCTCTCTCTTTCTTTATTTAAGATGATTCCATTAGAGACCAGAGACCACCTTGAACATTCTAAAAGATTTTTTTTTTCTTTTAAATCTCGTTAATAATAATGACTCTGACAGGTCTCATAAAACATTATATTATATCAAATAGTAGAACACTTCAATAATAACACGCGATACTGATAACCACGAGAGGTCTAATACAATTATATTATTAGTTGTAATTTCACCATCGTGATCTATTATAATAGAAAACGTCTCACGATTTTCTTTTCTAGACGATTAGCAATATATATTAAACCGACTGCTATAATAATACTAATACAACTGAAATGATCCACAATTTATATTTCTGTACGTACCTGTACCAATTACCATTACCTAAATTAATTTTTAAAAAAACCGCACACACTTCACACAGTGCACTACAATAGTTAACTCAAATCAAAATACCTAATTAAAATAATAATAGTAAAAAATAATAAATACCTAGTCATTTAATATTGCATGATTGATGAAAAAAGACTTTGGAAATAAAAAAATTAACAAACGTCAGTCGGTATTAAATTTGATCAGAAAAATTTACTAGTAAGATAGTCAGAATGAAAGTCTTCTATGAAATTCTATAAGAATATAGATAGGTGCATAGTTTAGTAATAGTACAGATACATTATGATTAATCAATAAATACAAATCTGTATCTGAGTTCTTTATGCTTTAAAAATATTTTAAGTATCAAACTTTTTTTTTTTTTTAAGTAACAAAAAATAACATTTAATTTTGAACACTTCGGTGACTCATAAGTCAAGACACAATTAATTTGCCCGATTACCTGACAGGCCACTCCGCCCCTGGTAAAAAGATTATTGAATGTCAAATAATAAAAGAAAGGACATACTTTACCCGTGGGTGAGAAGTTGGGAAAGTAGTAGAGGGAAAATTGAATGTATACGATACGCAACGATTAACCAGTGCTAACGAAAAAAACTATTCTGAGGGTAGTTCAGTTAATAGTGTTGCTTTTTCAACAATATATATATATATCATATTATGGTTAAATAATTACACATTATGCATTATATATTTTCTTTAATAATATTTGTCTAATATTGTACTTATTTTACCGTTTTTCCCACATTTTTCCCATTTATTATGAAAACAGCAGGGAAAATCAAAAAATTACCTCCTTAAAGTACCACCCCTGTCAGATTTCCTTTCAGAAAAAGTACTATTATTTTAAATCGGAGCAAAATTGCTGATAGAAAAATTGTTCACAGAAAAAAAAAAAATTAAAAAAACATCATTGTAAAACCAATACATTTCTATCTCCACTCAGAATCTAAAATAATAAAATAGAAAGAACGAAAGATACGTTTATTTGAAGACGATACTTGCAAGATTAGGATTATAATTTATAATATTTAACCCACTATTCTCTATAACTGAAATATATATATACCTATTTTAATAGTCCGTGATTATACCCATTACTTATAGAAACATAGGTATATATTATGATAATACCCGTAGATACAATGTACGATCTACTATCAGTGACAATAACAATAATATTATCACCCGTATAATATGAGTGACAGGGCGAGTGGCCATAGATATATAAAATAACTAGCTAGCAAACTCTGTATACTGGCTTGACAACAATTTAAAGTCGTCAACCATTTATAGGTGGACCAAAAACGATTGCAAAATAGGACCTAATGGACATCGATATAAGTATTATCAATTTTTATATTTATTATCTCATAATGGACACAATGTAATAATAAGAATAACAGCCGTTAAATATCAATGATTCACTATCGTTTTTTCCCAATTACCCAAATACAATTTAGAGACAACGTACCAAATTAAATATTTTACGTAAACAATTATTTAACTTAAATTTTTTGTAATTGTGGAATCTAATTTAAATAACAATTTTATTTTGCTGAAATAGATTTTTCTTATCTTAATATCTATAGATCTGACCGAAATTATGAAAAATATTGTGTTTCACGAGGTGGTGGTGTTGTAATTTTTGTTAGTTATAAACTTTTATCTAAATGTTCAAATTTTTCCATTCCGAATCATGTTTTGTCCATATCCGTTGCGGTTTTAAAGATATTATTAATGGTACCTATATATTTCCCTCCCAATAATGATAACGTCACATTTATCTCTTTCTTTATTTCCTCAGAAATAATTAAATCTCAATGTCCTTCTATTATGTGTGGAAACTTCAATCTACATCATACATCTACATAAGCTATGTTTATGTAGTTAACTCCGTTTAATCGTGTGAATTTTTTCGGTATAATTATCTACATAGGTTTACAATCAGTGAATCTTAAAAAAAATCTATCTTTCTTGTTTAAACAATATATTTTTTACATATATATCTGCATTTTGGTCAAGTTTAAAAATGTATGAGCAGATATACAAAAAAAGATCGAAAAGCTACATACAAAAAATTACGAATTTGTCATTTAAATCTCTTTGTATTACGATAAAATCCACTTAGAATCTTAAACTTTTATATTCAGCTTCAATAGGATAAGGGAAAATAGCAAAAGATAATGAGCGAAATCAATTATTTAAAAATCATAGTTTAGACAAACTAATTTTTATTTCAGATCACTGTGCACCGTGGTACCGTACAACGGCATAACAAACTTGGAAGCGACACTACATGACGGTCATTCAATTTTTACATTATTTTTATCGCATGGGGATGAAATTCTTTTTTAAAATTTATAATTTTCTATTACAATCCATTAACTTATTTTAATAGATACGAGTTTACAAGCTATAATAATTTGTTTATTACTAATACTCAGTGGCGGCTCGTGTGCTATGGTACACAGGAGTAGTGCACCAACTAAAATGTTGAAAACTATATGTACATTGTTTAAACGAATGTTATCGCACGTCATAGGTATGCCATCGTACACAATTCGCAGCGGTAGTGGTCATGGAGTATGGACGGACAATTAATGCAATTTTTGCACCAGTTGCGCATGCGAATTTCACCGTTTCGGTTCCACCACTGGCACAACTACCATTAGACCAGTCTTAGTGGTGTGTTGGTGCGCAAACGAATATTGCACCGCCGCGGCTGACGGAGAACACATTGGGAACTGATTATTTCTTTTGGATAACATTAAATTTGTCCGGCGGGCGGCGTTATCTCCAAAAATACCCTGTAGAAATTACTGACCGACCCGGTTTACATGCAATTGCTAAATAATATTATTTAACGTAATGTAACATAGAACAAATATATTAATTCCCTAATATATATAGGTTTCTATCTAAGAACCTCCTATGTAAAAAAATTACAAATATATTCATATTTTAATAAAATATTTGTTTTAGTTCTTGTTTTCTGAATCTACTGTACTTATTGTATACAATTTTTTAAATGTGCACCACATAAGTATGCGCACGAGGGGGGGCACGGCCACGTCCCCCCCTGTGACCTCTGGCTTTGTCTTTAATTAATGCATAGATATCTATATTATACTAGATAGCGAACATTTTTACATTTTACATGAACAAAATGAAGCCAGTTTTAATCTAATAGTATAAATTAATGTGATAAAGTTATTAATTAATCAGTTATCATCGACCAAATGGTTTATTATTATCACATAATACTCTACCAAGGTTTATAGATACCTATAGTAGCTATAAACCTTGATACTCTACTATCCACTCTGATATCAGCTAACGGACTATTATTTTTATCACAGTGTAACTATCAACTATTTAATTAAATTTATGTATTTACATTATTTCACGATTGTAACTTGTATATAATATTATACTTAACTAGTTATACTCGTATATAAAATACTTTTAAAATGAGCAACAAGAAGAAAACTGTGACGATGTATGATTTCTTTCTAAAGAGTACAAATAAAACTAATATTACTAAGGGTAAGTAAATTATATTACACAAATAACAGTAAGATCTAGTAAGATCATTTTGGGTTGATTATTATTATACAAATTATTTCAACTATTGATTTAGTATTTAATTAATATAATAAATCAACATTTGTTATTTATCATTTAGGCAAAACTATGTCTAAAGAAGATGATTACAGTATGTTAGTACCTCTACTTCAAAGATAGTCAATCCTTATAGTTCATACATCTGCTACATCTAAAGAAGGTATAATTATCAAAACTGAAGGTTCATTTAAATAGTTCTTCAGCTCTATCAAGTTTTATGGATTCCAAATCTATTGATATTGTTTTGGATAAAGCACGTGAACATATTAACAGCCAAAAGAAGATTTATCGACTCAAAAATCGTGAAATTGTAAAACGACTTGTAGATATTATAATTTGCATTTGTATCGGTGGTAAACCATTGTATGGATATACAGAAAAAACACATGATGTTCACAAAGGTCCTTTTCTTGATATTGTTAGTCTTCTAAGAAAATATGATTTATTATTTAATGAACATTTCATATGTGGACCAAAAAATTGTTTTGACATCATTAATTAATTTAGTAATTAGAAAACAGCTACAAGATAATAACTGATAGAAAAATTTCTTTAATAGCTGATGAGACAAGTGACATAGATCATCATGAGCAATTATCTATTGTTTTACGCTACTTTGATGAAACCACAAAATTGTCCAATTGAACAGTTTTTATGTTTATAGCTAATGAAATTGGTTGATGCTCAAAGTATTTTTAATAAAATAACTGATGTCGTTCAAGAATATGGAATTAAATGGGAAAATGTGGTATCAATTTGTTTTGATGGAGCATCAATGATGTCTGGGAGTAATGGAGGAGTGCAAGCAAAATTTAAAGAAAAAAAAAACCGTTCATTTTGTGTTCATTGTTACAGTCATTGTCTAAATCTTGTTCTAGTAGATTCTATTGGAGACATAATATAGTAACTTTTGATTTCTTCAGTTACATACAATTTATAATTTCATTGAAGGCAGCTGTACTCGACATGCAGTATTGTAGGCCTTCGATAAGCAAATCGCGAATTTCATGTCAGAATAAGAACAGATATATCACAAATACATAATGTTAAGGCTGGAGTTCCACAGGGATCTGTGCTAGGACCATCTCTATTCAATATCTACTGTCATGATATACCAACACCGCAACACTGCCATCTAGCAATGTTCGCAGATGACACTGCAATAATAACGCAAAACCAAACTCTTGAATCTTCAATAAGAGACCTACAAAGCTCCCTAGATGAACTATCCCTCTGGTTCTCAAAATGGAAACTAACACTAAACCCAACCAAAAGCGAAGCAAAAATATTTACACTCAGAAAATACATAAATCCGACCCTACTTCAAATANACCCCCTATTAAATCATAGCTCTACCATACAAATGAAATGCTCTCTACTCCTTTACACAGCAATAATAAGACCTTTAGTAACCTATGCATGCCCAGTATGGGCATCTGCCTCCAAAACAAAAATTAAAAAATTACAAACCCTCCAAAACAAATTCCTAAGAATAGCCCTAAAGGCCCCTTGGTTCATGAGAAATAAACAATTGCACAACGATACAGGCATGAGATCCACAAATCTAAGACTCAAACCTCGGCTACCTCAGGACATCCTACTAGATCCCAATGAACACACCTCAACCTCAGACTCTGATCCAGACTAACCTAACCAAATCTACTATACATCACATAATTATTTAATAATAAAAACATTGTAAAAATACTTAGTGTATTGACACAATTATATTAATAAATAAAAAAAAAAAAGACATGCAGTATTGGAAAAAATGTCCAACTTAACTTAGTTAATTATAATTATGTATTATTATTGTTATTATATATTTTAATAACTTTATATTTTATTTATATTTATTTTTATATTTGCATATTGAATTAAATTTATACTTTATAAAATTAACAATTAAATATTTAATTATACTAGTATTCATTAGTAAAAAAATCTTTGGTTCGAACCTTTTTAAAGGCCCATCTGCAGTCAAAATCTGCGCACGCCTATGATGCACCACCAATTATTCTACCCACAAGCCGCCACTGTTAACACTACTATATTCACAATAACAAATATAATAATAATCGCTAATTGCATTTTATTAATTAAGGCAGGTAGGGAGGGTTCTATCGCACTTTAGCACTGCCTAATATCATATTATGATTTAACATATTTGTAAAATTTTTTAAAATACTTTCGAATTTTATATACCTACCGAGTACTTATCACAATCGCGAGACAGAGTAGGTATGATAGTATGATATTCAATATAATTTACAATATAATTTCAAATAATTAGTTTTTATAGTTGATAATAGAAAATTAATAAGTTATCAGATAAAAAAAAAATGTATATAGATGGAAATGCACCATCAGGAAGTGCTGGAAACAAAAAAACAGTGGCCTCATTTTCAAAACTTCACATTTCTAGATGAAGTGTTTGATAATTTTTGAAAAAGTTTGCTCCCATAGGTAGGTAAAGTTAAATATTAAAATTGTTTCATATGCAAACCCACCCCTGTATCTTACCTTTTTTATACTATTTAATATTGTATTTTAACAGAATCTTTAATTGAAACTCACATCAGCTCTTTAATTGAAGAGTTGAAAAACAGTAGACTGCTTCAATTGTTTCCATATAAACTCTTCTAATACCAGAACCAATAAGTGAGGATGAAAAGTTTAGATCTTATTTAAATGACATAATGTCTGATATTCCTAGGAAACGCAAAATAATTTCGCAAGCCAGAATTACTGCTATGGTAGTGAAGGAATTAGATGATTAACTTTAAATAATTAATTAATTCATTCATTTTTTTTTTTTAAATTATTATAATATTTTACATATATTGTTAAAAATAATTTTTTTTCATTATATTCAAATTTTATAAATAATATTGTTAAGATATTATTAAACTGTCTTGTCATATATAGTTGTACTGGAACAGTACTTCTCCTTCTGTATTAAAGCATATTTCAATTGGGCCTTATTTCCTTTGCCTCTCTATCATAAAAATTGGAACCAATTCTTGAAACTGGCATTAGACCATAATTTTGAAGATTTGTATTCTATGTCGACTAGCGACTGATGGTAAGACTATACCTAAATTATATTAGTTTTAAAATATTTACCAAAGATAGAAATTTAATACCAGATTCTATCTCTTTATTTTTAATAAAATTGTGAAGAACCACTGTTGCCTTGTTTATAGAATTAACTGTTCTTTCACTTGCCACTATAACCTGTCTATAAATATGCCATCTTGATGAAATGATACCAAATATTTTCGACTTGCCCAGCTAAGCCTGTTTAGATACAATTTATAAGAATTTAGTCTTGACATTTAATTTGAAAGTACATCTTGAACTGGCATTACCTTAAGTTTTCATATTTAATATAATGTTATATATATAGATATGAAAATTGTTCTCTAATGAAGGACGTTATTATAGGCATATACCTCAATATTTTATTTTTTTAACAATTCACGATTATGATTACGCTTCATAATTAATATTAAATAATATAATAATATATAATTGTAAATAATAATAATAATCTTTTCATGTTCGACTTCAACTACGATTCCTGTAAAAATAAAATAAAGTGATATTAGTGAACTGTAGTTGATGTGATATAAATGAGATAAAAGGTCTGTGTCGACTGTGCGGCAATGCACGAACACGACACGGCGAGTTGTGAACGCACCTTTAACGCACTCCTGTAGGCCGTGAAATAGTGGTATGTATGGTTCAAACCACATCTTACTTTGCGATATAATTTTGATTTTCTATCACGCTTATTAAATAACAAAGTTTATTATAACTGATAATTGTTAACATCTGATTTGATTGCATTTTTTTAAAAAAGCTTCCTCAAGTTGTAAGTGAACAATATATTTGTTAATGCAGTCATACTATTTATCAAATAGAGATCGCTTTGTGCTGGTGTGAAAACCAGTATACGTTTTGAGCTTCACATTATCACGGTTTGTTCCGCAACCATATTATCTATAGCCGTGGTCTATCTGAAATCATGAACCAAGTTAATCGCCAAAACATAGCCTGCTGGTAGCGATTGTTTATCACTAGATCCTTTGTGTGTGATAGTGTTTCTGGTCATCTAATTGAATTTTCTTTAATTAAAATTTGTTGTTTTTGATATAAATGTGTTTATTCTAACATTTAAATTGGCCATGACTGTACAAATATTTAAATTTCAATAGAAATTCCATAGTTTATTACAGTTAATATTACCACAAATACCTACCTAATTATTACATTTTGATTCCGTAATGGCCATAGGTTTGGAGATAATACTGAAAAGGTCCAATAAATTGTACCACGAAGGCGTAAGTAGTATTATAATTTATAATCATTCGTTCAAACAAAATTCCTGGATAGTAAATTTATAATTATTTTTGTGAGAAACATTTTTAAGTTTTATTTTGTTTCATAGGACACAATATCGGGTATTATATGTATTGAATCGCCGATAGACGTCAAACACGAAGGTGTTTTCATGACTATAGAAGGAACAGTGGATCTACAAATCAGTACACAAAATGTCGGAACATTTGAAGCTTTTTACAATTCTGTCAAGGTATATTTGTTTATTCTATTTAATTCTATTCATAAGTTCTGGTTAAATGTAAAATATGAGTTTTAAGACATTGAATCTGAAATTGTTTGAAAAATTGTCCCTCAATACTAAAAAAAAACCAATTGAAAAAGTATAAAAATTATACTGTTTATTTTAATTTTAAAATATATAGGTACTTCAAAAAATCTTTTAAAAATATGACAAATTAAGCCTATTAAATGACATAAAATATTGGGTTCTACCGGGTAAGCTTAAAATTAGTGATTATTGTAAGGTAAGTACATAAAATAGATATATTCACTGTGGTCCTGAAGAATGGGAAGCAAGGGTATAAATAACAATATGACTTATTTACAAGCCAATGACTTTTTACAAACATAATCAACTAACTGAATAAGTAGCTTTTAAAACAGTTTATATCCTTATATGTATCCATCAACAATCGCTAATAATTGTAGTGCTACCCAGTAAAATCCAATGTTTTATGGCAGTTTATAGACTTATTAAGTCTCATTTTTAACCAGTTTTTGTGGTGTATCTTCTAAAATAAAAAAAAAAACTGATTTTAATAATTATACAACTTTTTTTGAACACTTTAAGACTCGGTGTCTTGAAACAGTCATTCTAAGAAAATTTAAAAATTGAACATAGGTACTAAATTGCATTAATGGCATTGTACTTCATGTGGAATATTATAGTGTTTATGTGCTTATAAATTATCTGTAATCATTATCAAATTTCCAGCCAATACAACTTATGATGTCTTCATTGGAAATAGCTAAGCCTGGTAGATTTCCCAGTGGTGTTACTGAAATACCTTTTGAAGCACCTGTCAAGCCACTTCTAAACAAAGTGTTGTATGAATCTTATCATGGTGTTTTTATTAATATTTTATATCTTTTAAAGGCTGTGATAAAAAGAAATTTTTTGAACAAAGATATTCACAAATCACTGGAATTTGTCATTGAAAATAAAGTAATTTTAAAGAAAACATAGTATACTGCCCTCATAAGCAAAATTGCTACAAAGTCCAAAAGAATTAAAAAATGAGTTACAATACATCAAACAAATTTTAAAATACACACTTTTTAGGTTAATATATCTGAAATAAAGTCCTACAAAGAACTATTAGTAATTTATGTTTTTGACAGATTGCTGTAAATGCTCAGAAAATGTATTTTTACCAAGTAAAAATTCTATATACTAACCATGCTCAGTAAAAATATATGATAATAATACAGTACGCTCTTGCTAAGAGGTACCACTAAATAATTCAGTTGGATGATCTAGTATTGAAATGGAGTTTTGGAGGAATGATAGGGAGTACCGAAATATACATTTTCAGATAAATTTCAAATTTTTAACCCTTACAACTTTTTTTTTTTAAATAGCAACACACAGAATTTATTTATATTCCATTGCATTTATCTGGTAAAATTGTATATGAAAATCCAAATCATATTTTAAAAATTAAAATATATTAGGTGTTATGAATTTTAGAAAATATAAAGTGTAAAAATCATTTTTTTCAAAAATGTTCTCTAATGACTTATAGTAGTTTTGTTTATAGGTACAGGGCACCTAGTCTATATCCAAAACATATTATAATTATTTTATTATTTTATAGCCTAATCCAGAAGTATCTATTTCTAAAGTGGATAAATTTATAATAAATCAAAATACATTGGCAAATGTTAATGATAATTCTAACATTCCGAAATTTCATATTATTGGAACAGTGGACACTGTTATCTGTTCTATAACACAACCATTTTTAGGAGAAGTGAGTATAAAGTACTTATCTATCATTAAATGAGATAACTGATCGATTTAATTTTTTTACATGAATTAAACAGTAAGGGGAATTTTTTAACTTGATACTATTTTCTACACAGTCCTGCACACCTATTATCTTATTCTAATTATTGTATTCTAAAAAATAGTATGTTTATTTTTGTAAAATGATGACATTAAAATATATACATATTTTCTATATTGTATTGTAAAAAAAAAAAAAAAAAATGTGTAAATTGTATGTATAATTACTACCTTATCTGTTACCTTAAATCTAAGAAATTTTTATGACTTTGAAACTACCAAACAATATTATATATAATATAATAACTAAATCCATTTTCTTTGATTGAGATTGATCACTATAATGTATTTATGCATACATAATACATTTTTAAATCAATGATCAAAGCTGCCCCAAACTATATAAAATGAGTGTGATTTGAACATTTAAATCTAGTGATTGTGAATTTTAGTTTATAATTTGTATATTAATTATAATTTAAAAAGTAATAAGAAAAAAAACGAGCTGAATATGACCACTGGTCATAGGTAGGTAGTGTGGAGAGTGAGATACATGAAGTTATTTAGTTTATATCTGGAACCAACAATAAATCATTGATAATGAAAAACAATTCAAAGTGAATTTCGATTATACATATTTACAATTTTTGTCGAAATTTGATTTTAAAACTCTTATAAAAAAAAAATACTGCATTAAACTAAATTTCTTCTTTTGACCACTAAGTTCTACTTATAATGAACCTCCTATACAATTTTTAATCATTTCTGTTAAGTTTAACCTACTGAGCACTTTTCAATTGAATATATACATAAAATCCCTTGCAAAATTAAAATGTCCATAAATTGCTCATATGTTTTCGAAGCTTTATCACATCTAGAAAGAGCATATCTAAGTTTTTTGTCAAAATTTTAAGTCTCTACAAATATTTTTAACTCACATCCATTATTAAAACAAAATTTAAATAGTAAAAGAATTATTTTCATATATTTTTCCGTTCTCTACATTATTTTTGATTTTGCTTAATTATTAAAAAAATTACACAGAAAATGAGAAAACAATTCTCTTGGTCATCAACTAGATTTAAAAATACATCAAAAAAGATCTGTTGAAGCGATATTTACAGTAAAAAAAATAAGCCATACAAATTTAAAATAATAAAATCCTTGGGCTATAATTTGAAAAAAATCTAATAGTTTGTCATTTTTGGTTTTTCCTAATAATTCTGAAAACTACTTTGGATATCGAAAACCGGCCCTCTCATTCAGTAGTGAACAAAATTTATCTCTTGTAATTTTTCAATTGGAGTAAAATTTCTGATAGAAAACTTAAGTCTAACACAATGAAAACAATGAAATAGGTATTTGACCATGTACCTATAATTTTATTTCGGGTTTTCCCAATTATTTTGAATACCCCCTTTAAAAATCAAAAAATGGCCTTCTCAATGCACCAACTATAGAAAATTACCTTTTAGAAAAAATGTTATAGTTCATAGACAAAAAAAAACACATCATAGTAAAACCAATAGGTCCCTCACTATGCTCTGAATCTATAAATGATCAATGAGGCCCTACTATACAGTATTTAATATATGTTTTGGATTTTTAGTTGAAAATTGAACACTGTGACATCCCTATTAAATCTATCGATTTACAATTGGTACGTGTGGAGACATGTGGCTGTGTTGAAGGTTTTTCAAAAGATGGTGAATTTCCTATTTGTTTCCATGGAAAGATAAAAAAAAATTATTAACAGTTAATTTAATAATGCACACTTTATTTTAGCTACTGAAATTCAAAATATTCAAATTGCTGAAGGAAATGTATCAACAGGAATTTCAATACCGATCTACATGGTATTTCCAAGATTATTTTCTTGTTGCACTACGAAAACTGCAAATTTCAAAATTGGTAAATCAATGTAATATTTAGAATTTTAATACTATTAGTTAATCATGGAACTGGTTTTTAAATTTTATTTATACAATAGTGTGAACCATCAATAATTCACTTATAATAAATTTGATTTTGGTTTTATTTTTCAAATATTTTAAAAACATTTATTGATCTTATAAATTAATAATGTTAGCTATCTTGGTGCATATTTTGACAGGCTCCTTAATTTAGGACATAGTAGTTTAAAACCAATGAGTTCCTGTACTAGTATAATACTATTTCCTTTATATTATGATTGGGGATATAACCTAAAATTATATTTAAATTAATGAAATATGCATTTAAATTTTAACTTTCTATAAAATCATGTTTATATTCATTAAAATTTGAAATTTCACATTTTAAGTAATAGGATTATAAATATATTTATATATTAGGGTGGTCCTTAGTTACAGGTGAAGAAAAAAGAAATAAATTTTTTTTTCTCACTCCCTTCCCCCCCTTTTTTTTTTCATTCCTATAAAAAATTAATTTAAGTTAAATTTACTCATAATCAGGGCTCATGACTTATAGCATTTGCATATTTGTTTTGAAAAGTTCTAGTAACACCTAAGTAAGTTGCACATTTGTTTCAGATAACCAGGGGAAGTCAAATATTAATTTTTTTGTTGTGTATTTTGATGTTTTGATACTATTTTGCATTTATTTCAAAGAACAAAAATGAAAATTTCCTACAAAGTCAATATTATATGTGCGTTTATCAGTTTTATTTTGTTAATTGTCATAAAAAAAGTGAGATTGACAAATTATTTCATTATTATTGTCATTACTCAGTAATTCCTTTGATAAGAAGGTCTCTATTAATAGTATAATGATTTTATTGTTGAATTGTATTATCAAATTACTTTCATTTTGCTTGAAACTTTTCCTTATTTGTTTGCATATTTTGACATTTTTAGTGCATATATAAACACTTATATGAATGTTTTTAAGATAATATCATTGAGCTTAGAACAACTTTTTTCTGAGCTATAAGTCAAGAGCCCTGGTCATAATCAATTTTTCCTTTTACATGCCACAAGAGAGTTGAAAATTGTTAAATATGGTAGTTTTATAATATTTCAAATTTAATTCAATAAATTTATCGGTTTGCATAAAATGTTCAGAATCTTAATTATTGCTCATACTATTATATTATTTATATAAAGTATATTCAATACATTTCCATAATTTCATTATTTCATTATTAAGAAAACAAAAACCAAAATATTAGTTTGTGAGCTTGTGTTTTATTGGAGCAGTTTATTGAGTGTGATCTATTCTATTATAAAATATAATATAATAATATTATTTATGGAGACATCTACCATGTCATCACATTTTTGAGCTAAAAATTGTATTAGATTTTAAATTAAAATTGACTACTATAGATATACCTATTTTTAAATGATTTCAACAACAATGAACAACTTTAGGTACACAAACATATTATATTGGAAATGTAGTATTATATATTTTTATCTATTTTAAATATTTACATTATAAAATGACTGTAACATAAATTTTGAATGAACCTGTGTGTAAACTGTACATATATATATATTAGGGTGTATCGTTATTATATTTTATCAGATATTCTTCTCCTGATTTTTGTTCTTTAGAGCTCAATAATGTTTCCCAATTTTTTTTTTCAGATTTTTTAAGATCGCGATCATAAGGTTATAAGAAAAAAATTGAGTTTTTTTTATGTGTGTAAATAATAATACTTGAAGAAGAAATCAAAAATTATCAGAAGAAAAAAAAACAAATACATGTACTAATATTTTTTCAAATTAAATATTCTAAATTTTACATTTTGTTTAGGCTAAACCTTAAATAAATGTTTAGATAATTTCGATAAATCAGCCTTTTAACTACCCTTGAATATATTTTTGAGGATTTGAAAATATTTTTAATTTATTCTCCATTTAGAGAATGATTATACTTGTATAGTGGATTACACTTAATATGACATTAAATGAAATTATGTATACAATTATTATGGAAGAATGTTGGATAAATATAAAAGAAAAAAACATTTTATATCAATTTGATATCATACATTGCTTTATGATTCTTATATAATTTTGAATAAATCATTGGGAAATTTTTTGAAATCTACTTTGTTTTCCATATTGTGGTGTTATCACTACGAGAATGGATAATTGATTGCATTATATGACATGTGTTAATATTATGTGAATAATTGTGATTTGATTATTTGAAAGTTTCAGTATAAATTTCATTGCCAACATCTATTGTATCTCATGTTTGTGTTTATAAATTCAATAATTAATATTAATGATGAGTAAAACAGTAAAATGAAATTAACTTATTGGCTAGTAAAAACTTGTAACAAAAGGTGGATGAAAATGCAGTTAGTTTAAATTTAATGTTATTTTCTTTGCTAACATGTGATAGAAGAACATTTTCTGTATTATACAATATAATTTTTTTAATCTACATCAAAAAGAAAAAAAATCTGAATTTTTCAATATTGCACATTTATTTTTTATTTATATTTATTCCATAATAATTTTTAGGTAATTTTTTACAATTATTATAGTTATTATTTTATTTGTTATTTAATTTGTGTAATTTAATTAATTAAACTTAGCTATGTAACTATAATCTACTTATATTATACTGTAAAAGGACTAGCCCTGTTGAACTATAAAATAAATAATTATTGTAAATATAATTCTATTTGAAGTCATATTAAATGTAACATGTGTAATCATTATCTTGGTAACTAAATGGAGAACAAGTTAAACATATTTTTAACCCTTTAAAAATATATTTAAAGTTGGTTAAAGGGTTAATTTTCAAAATTATCCAAAAATATGTTTTTAAAGGTATAATTGAGAGGTAAAATTTAGATTATTTAATTTGAAAAAAATACTAGTATATGTATTTATATTTTTTTCTTCTGATAATTTTTAATCTAATGATCTTGAACATTATTTTTTACATACATTGAAAATAATAAAATAATAACTCAATTTTTTTCCTAAAAGTGATGCTCAAACTTTAACAAATCTGAAAAAAATTTAGGAAATTGAGAAAATTAGGCATTCTTACATTTGATAAAAAAAAAAAACTCAACCAGCCTAATATATATATCTATTGAGTTTTTTTATACATATGTGGTAACAAGTGTTAAGTTTCACATTATAGTAATAATTAGTAGGTAATTAATTAATATTGGACAAATTATAATTATCATATTGAATATATTTGATTTATAATATATATCTTATAACTCGGGTCCAGATTTAAATGCTTTAAAAACCTTAGAAAAATGGACAAAAAAATTAATTTAAAAAAAAATGTTTTTAATTATTATCATTTCTATTTTTATTTTTAAAATAGGTACAAATGATGATTTGTAATGGTATTTTCAAATTTTTTTTAATCTGAAATTTAATACATAAAAAATATATGTATATATTTTTGTTTAAATAAAAAATATGCATACAACAAATTAAATTGATTTAAAAAAATGTATGTATTTTATTTTTACAATCTCCAACACTATTTTTAAACTAATATAAATATTACAAAAATATGCATGTGGTGCATTTAAAAAACCATTTATATGCAATGATAAATGGTAAACTATAGAAATATGCAGTACATGTCAAAAAATAGTAAAATATGCTAAATAAAACTTTGAATTTCAGTTCTATTGAGTATAATTCAAACTTGTAACTTATCTAACTACATTTTGAACTCTCTAAAAAAACACATGAAAATGCATATAAATTGGGGTCCTACAGTTATTACCTATAAGATAAATAATTATAGATATTTTATAATTAAAATAATAATTTTGGCACTGAGCCATTATTATTATATTAATAATCAATGGTTTTAGTCTAACATAAGTTTTGTAGTAAAATAGATAATTTCTGTACTAAATTAATTATAACAGTAATTCATATAATATATTATTATTAACTTATGATATGCTCTTGACTTAAATTAAATTTATGTTCTATGCCTTACTAAATTGCTAAAATGCTTGTAATTTCTTATTTTCAATAATAAATTCTTAAAACAAAAATGTAAAATTATGTTAATGAGGGTTTTTCAAATGCATTTTTCCCAAATCTATAGTTTTGGCTGATTGAAAAAATATTTATTTTTTTTTTTTTCATTAATTTAGACATGGTTTTTAAAAAATTTAACTAGTTTAAAATGATCAATTTTGGCGTGAATTTATTGTGTCTTACTAAACATTGGTATACCAAGGTTACTATACTTATAAGGACATTATCAATCTAAAATACACGATTTCAGTCAGTGATAACCCACTAAACCAGACTTGGGTAAAATACATTTGATTCCTGTCAATATTGATCAGTTTGAATATTTTTAATTTATTAATTGTTAAACAAAATTTATAAAGAATTAAAAATTCAGAAAAAAAAAATTAATTTAATTTCTTATTATGTTCATTGCTATAAAATTTGTCAATTTAATCAAACATTTTTTTATTTTTTAACAACCTCTATTATAGAGAGAAAAAATATACATTATTTCTTAATTTATTATAGAAAATATATATTGAAATTAGATTTAAACTAGATGAGATTAAGAGGATATATTCTTTTACATGACCTTTTTTCCTTAAATATTTATAATAATACATATTATATTATTAATTAATAAACAAAATATTGTTTGATAAATTAAGGTTTTAAGGTTGCATTATTAATTTCTTTTTATTTGTAATTTCTATAAATTTGTAAATAATCTATTCTTTATATGTGATTTAGTAATTTATATTGTTTTCATAAGAATCTCCAGTTTGGTGTTAGTAAATAACAATAAAAACAAAATTGGGTACATATAATTTACATAAACTGGATAGTTTATAAATAAAGAGTTTAAAATGTACATCAGAAGCCGGTTTTTAGTTTTAAATATGATATATGTAATAATATTATTTAAAACTAAGTAAATCATTTAGTATTAAAATAATTTTAAAAAAAAATCAACATGCCTAAATAATATATATGCAATTTTTATTATTTTTATATTTTTTGAATTATAATTTATTAACATTTCTTAATCTCATAATCATGCATCCAAAAATGATTTAATATAAAAACATGCTAGCTATAAACATTTTATGTTTCCTAGTTAAAAAAAATGTTTTTACCAAAATTATATTATTCATATGCACACAGGTAAAATTATTGTTATTTGATATGATGCAGCACACATAAACATACTCTTTTGTACTATTAGTTTTTAAAAGTCATTTATAGTTCTCATAGGTAACTCTTACATATTAATTTTATATTTTGTTTTATTTATTTATTGCAGAGTTTGAAGTTAATATTTCAATCACTTTTGTTGATGACCATTTGGTCACTGAAAATTTTCCTATCACTCTATTCAGATGAATTTGACTGCCTCTAAATAGTAGGATGAAAGTGAAAGAGAAGAAGACTATTCAGATGAATATCCTCAAATCTATTTGATAAAAAATATATTTATTGCTATTAATTCAATGATATTTTAATAATTTAATTACTAAAGCTCAGATCTAATGTGTTTAATATATATATATATATAACTAAATAAATTAAAATATTTACAGACTACATGATTTAGTCAACACCCAACAGATAGCCTGATCAAATCTCATGCAACATGCAATTGACACTATACACAGTACATTTTAGTCAGGATAGTCAAGATAGTCTATGTCCACTAGTGAAGACTTATGCCACTATGCTTCCTAGCTCTAGTTTTATATAAACACCAAAAAATGGGATTGTTCTATTAGCATGAAGTCAAATCCACACAACACTACACATTCTCTGATTTAGTCAGGTAATTGATGTGATTATGGTCTTATCTGATATGATGTTTGATCTGAAAAAATTATTTTGTTGGGCAGGCTAAATCATAGAGTTTGTAGACATCTAGTTATTAATAAAAAAGAATCACAAAAGTTTAAAAAATGTTATAAATGTTTATATTGAGTACTTAATATATTTATCTTTATTTATACATTAGTTATATTAGATATATTTAAACCATAGATATGTTAAGAAATAAACTGTGTATACCCCATACCTTGCCAAAGGTTTGCCAATCCAAACATTTAAGTGAAAGAACCAGACTATTCAAACTTACCTCTATTGTAGAAGAAATAATACAATAATTTACTTTTCCATGAATGACAAGAATTATTTTAATTGATAAGAATGATAAATAAAAGTTTAAATTTGATTTAATTGTAAAATGGAAAAATTAAATTGTACTTTTTTTATAATATTAATTGGATCGAAATAGTAAACAAATGTAATATTGGAGGATGTCTAACAGTTCCATCCAAAAATGTTTTAATGCATATGTTTGCTAATCTAAATGATTTAGTGAAACTATGCAAAATTTCTGAACAAATATTTAAACATTATGAATGAGATATATCTGAAATACCAAGTTTAATACATTATTTAACACTTAAAGCTACATCTACCATAGGCAAATAATATTTTTATGTCTTCATCATTATTATAACTTAGATTAAAAAATGTCTCCACCATTTTTGTAAAAGAAAGAATTAGATTTTATTTAACAATACGGTTCAGAAATCAATAAATTTATTTTTTAGTTAAAAACTTTACAGTTTATACTTAGCATAGTTATCTATCTACTTATAACAATTAATTAGTCTATTTATTAGTCTAATGTTATTTTAATTATTATTAACATTATTAAATGGTTATTAATATTATTATTATTATGTATTAAGATATAAATTAATTTCTTAGAAAAATGTGATTGCTATTTTTTCCTCCATATTGGGGTAAAAATCTCTTATTCGATGATCAAACTGGTTTTCTCTCTTAATGCCCTCTTCTTTTTTTAATATATCTATGGTTTAAACAGCTAAAATAGTTTCTGGCTATAGTCAAAACTGATATAGGGTGAAAAAAAATCAATGGCTGTGTCGAAAATATGTGATACACATCCATTATTGTTTTAATAAATAAATATTATGTAATTTCTATACTTTTTATCAAAAATATTTATTTAGAGATTATTTTTAAATGGATTTTAATTTGAAATTTATTAATTCAATACTTGCTAATAATTGTCTATTTTATTATTATTATAGTATTGTATACTACTTTGAAATATCAAATAAAAAAATAATATTAATTTAATTATATAATATCCTGTTATTATATTATTTATTGTTTCATTGAATAGATTTTAAAATGTAGATAAACATAATAATTTTAAAACTATATTTAACAAAACTATTGTGTGATTAAAGTCAGTTTTTTGTAACAAATTATTTTTTTTTTTTTTTAATTTTAATTAGTATAATTAAAGTTGTCTTAGAAATTGCAGGTCATTTTTTAAGAATTTAAATTTAAAAAATGTTACCAAAAATTTATCATATTAAATTCTGTTATATTATTATTTAACATTTATATTAATTTAACTATTATTTTGTAACTTTCAAAATATCCAAGTTCATGAAAATTGTTTTTTTAAAGATGGCTAAGGTTAAATACATAATGTAAATGATAAAAAGTAAATATTTTTTAGTCCATTTTGTGTACATTAAAACTTATGGATAGATTTAATATCAAAACAATTGATATTAAATTAAATTTTCAAATGAGCATAAATAATTAAAGTTCTATGTATTCTTCACTTGACTTTATAAATAAAGTATCACATATATAGTATCAATAATAATTACATATATACCTATATGTTGTATATATCATTATATGTTATAAATAATAAGTGTTGCATAATTTTTTGTTTCAAAGCATAGACACAATATCTTAATAGATTTGTGGTTAAAAGACATATATTTCGCTAGCAATAAATGATAAGAGAGTTCAGTGGATCCCAAAGTTTAAAAAATAGCTATTAAGAAGTTAGATAGGCACTGAAGAAACACAAATGAACGATAAGAAATAAACTGAAAGATGGTAGTAGCTTTCTTACACCTTATAAATATTAAAAAATATTGGGGAAGAAAATCAGATTCTAAATATAGATTCTGTACTCAAATTGCAGTTTGTTGGCAAAATCTTAAATTTGAAAAATTAAACTTTAAAGTAAATCCAATCAACTCTAGAAACAAACCCACATTTATTTGTTAAATATTAACACTAAATATCTTTTATAGAGCCCTGTTAACATTTTAATGTCTGCATTTTACTATTTGTAATAGTAAAAAAATCCTTTATTTCTTCAAATAAAAAAAAAATGATATAAAAATGAACATTACAAGTAACATCATCTCGCGGCAATTATAATAAACGTTCAAAATGATATCCTCCAGCTTTAATAACTGCTCCACAACGTTTTTTTACCACGTTTGTGGCGTTGTAAAGATACAAATAATCCGTGCTCAAAATTTGGAATTCTTCCTCGATTCGCTTTTTTAAATGGATCAAATTTTGGATTAACGTCTTGTAAACTCTTTGATCTTTGATAACTCCCCACATGCTGAAATCACAAAATGTGAGATTGGGTGATCTTGGGAGCCATTCTGTCGTCCCACATCATTTCGGCAGGGCTACAAATGATAACGAACATAAAACTGCGTCTAATAGGTTATGTTGTTTTCGTATAAACCTTGCTGTTATTGTACGTAAACAAGAAAACGAGACCAAAGTTGCAATATGACGTGGACGAAAACGATTCCATAACGCGTTCCATACTAGATGGTAGGCGTTGTGTAACTTTTGGCCACCTCTGTAATTTAATGAATTATTTATTATTTGTTATTTAAATAATACTAACTAATTTATTATTAACTTAAATAAAATTGTACATTATTTTTTTTTAAATTTTTGTATTTAAATTTTTTTTTTCTTTTATTATTACTAATTATTAATATAGTTTTACTTAAATAAGTATGTTGCTAAAAATTATATTATCCATTTTATCATTTTTAAATAATATTTACATTACATTAATCAACATATATATTTTATAGAATATTTGTAATTGAAATTTATTACGTTAATAAAGAATTTTTAAAGAATTATAGAATTCATCTATTAATGAATTGTATTTTGTTATGTTGATGGCCATATACACAAATTTAAAAAATGTATATTTTGGTATATACATTGATATTTTAGGAGTGAGTATTTAGGTATGAACTACATCATTGATATATATATTTTATATACATAGGTATCTATTTATTACACTAAAACTGTTTAACAATTTTTTTTATTAAAAAAAAACTTTTATTTTAANGTATTTTGTTATGTTGATGGCCATATACACAAATTTAAAAAATGTTTATTTTGGTATATACAATGATATTTTTAGAGTAAGTATTTAGGTATGAACTACATGATTTTTATGTATATTTTATACATAGGTATCTATTTATTACACTTAAACTGTTTCACAATTTTTTTTATTAAAAAAAAACTTTTATTTTAACAATGGTATCCATACATTTCTAAGTGCCTAAAAGGTAACAGATAAATATGAATTACCTATAATTACCATTAATTTTTTAAGGTACCTACCAGTGGTGTGCTCAACCTTTTTCCAGTGGAGGGAGGGATGATCTGTATTTTGTTATGTTGATGGCCATATACACAAATTTAAAAAATGTATATTTTGGTATATACATTGATATTTTAGGAGTAAGTATTTAGGTATGAAATACATCATTTATATATATATTTTATATACATAGGTATCTATTTATGACACTTAAACTTTTTAACAACTTTTTTATTAAAAAGAATCTTATATGTTTGCAATGGTATCCATACATTTCTAAGTGCCTAAAAGGTAACAGATAAATATGAATTACCTATAATTACCATTAATTTTTAAGGTACCTACCAGTGATGTGCTCAACCTTTTTCCAGTGGTGGGAGGGATGAACTGTATTTTGTTATGTTGATGGCCATATACACAAATTTAAAAAATGTATATTTCGGTAAATACAATGATAATTTAAGAGTAAGTAGTTAGGTATAAACTACATGATTTATATATATATTTTATATACATAGGTATGTATTTTTTACGCTAAAATTTTAGACTATTTTTTTATTCAAAAGAATTTTAAATGTTGGCAATGGCATCCATGCATTTTCAAGTGCTTTAACAGTTACATAGCAAAAGTTTTTTTACATTGGGTTGTAAGAACTGATTAATTTTTTTATTTTATCTGAAATAAAGTCTACACCTATGGTAAATTTATCAGCAATAGATAAACTGCAGTACATATATCGTTTACATGTGTATTTTCAGTCTTAAAGATATTTACGCAATTAGGTATGTACATATATTAAAATAAAATTTTTATTAAAGCTTGACTAAAAACTGCAAAACTATAGTTATGAAATATATAGCATTCCCTATGTACGCCACTGTTGAGGAATATGGACAAAGTTCATAAACTACAAATAGTTTTATAGTTGTTGTCGTCATTATCAAGTACACAAATAACCAGTTTATGACAATTAAAGTAATGTAAAGTGTACAATTATTTTAGGCTTTTAGCAGTCATTATCCATATGACCATAACACTAATAAAAAACAATAATAGTTTTCGGTAGATTACGATTTTTTGTGTTCCAGCTAAGTACCTAGAAAGTACTGATGTGACTGCAGTAACGCAAACACTCGCGAAACTGGCAAGGTACCAGTTGCACTGGTAGGTGGAAAACGATTTCAGACGTCTTTCAATATTCTGCGCTGTTCAATTCAAATGATAAGTATTATTCGGAAACACTTTGTTAATGTATTCTTGGTTATATCTTATATTATTGTTTGAAAACTCAGCGTTGCCAATGCAATTTACATCGGATCCAACGTTGAATTTTAATTATGTTCTGATGAATATTTCCTATGCACGAGAAATTTTTTGTACCTATCGTATTATTTTGTCAACAAAAGAATAATGATGTAGTCAAAAAATCGTATTTCATTATTAAATATAATCCAGATATTTTGGTATGCAACAACTTTTAAACGGACCCCATTGTTCAGTTGAAAAGCTTTAAATTATGGTCTATGTTTGCATCACTCTAGCTGATAACAATATAGTTGATAAGATTATTTTGTTTATTTTTCGAGCAGCTGCTGGTGGAGTCTATTGTATTTCATTTCGAATAAAGGAATTTCGTGCCGTTCGTGGAGTATAAAACGACATCACCGGTGTGCAGTCTGATAGTGCCGACAGTTACGATATACATTCGTTTGTAGGCTTCATCCATGACAATGGACTTATATGTACCCTGAACATTATTCGGGATTCTTTTTCTCGTTTACTTTCGTGTCGTTAGTGCCGTCGCCGATAACAAATGCTTTTCCTCCGTAAGTCTCTGATCTCGGATCAGAGTCATAATGTTGTGTAATTGTTTCTAAAACCGCACACGAATCGTGATAAATTGTTTGTCGCCGCGTCTCGCGTACAACGCGACCGGAAAGACGTTCGTCGTTTTCCAGATTTCTCCAACTCGACTCCAAGGCTGAAAAGTTATCTGTGGCTGCCGACGCTGATCGCCTTCCGGTAAATTATCTGTTTTCGTTATTAAGTAAATTGTCCCGACGCCCTTTCCCCCGGCCTTATTGATTAACTAAATATTGTCAAAACTCGTCTCCGAATATTTTGTTCGTGGTTTTTTGAATAGCGCTGTGGCGTTTGTATGTGTACGATTTGTTTTACACGCCATTTCACCGATATTGTAAGCAATTGTCATAATCTACGTTTCGTATCAAATATGATTATAATATATTGTTATACTGAGCATAATTATTATACACAAGCTTTAGTAATATAATAATATACAGTACACCCGTCATATTAGGTAATGATTTATTGTTCGGTGAGCTCGCCCTCAGTTGTTCCGAGGTTAAGTTTGTTCGAGAATGGTTTTTTGAAAAAATAATGGCGTTTACGTAAATATACCATTTACATATTACGGCCTTATGCGTTTTTCCGAGTACTTTCTAAACTTACTAAAGCTACCTATCTAATCGTCAATGAGAGTAATTATTTTTATTTTTCATATTATTCTAATATAATATTATTAATGAACGCATAGAAACATTAATGTTATTATTACTCGAGTAAAGTCATAATAAGTCACTTTTGTTTTTTTTTCACTTTACATAACTATACATTTTGTATTTCAAAAAAATGTATTAAAAAAAAAATTTACTTTTGGTAGGTATTATTTTCATATTTAATTCCATTTAATTGTTTTATATCATTATCAATTTAACATTTGCCATTCATTTTTATTTATACCTATACTAATTATCTTAATGAGTGGTATTTTGTTTTAATCATACAATTATCTTGACAAATAACTAAGATAACAATAAATGTACAAAGCTAATATAGGCACCACACATTTTATATTAGAAATGAGATATCAATATATAAGAACTAGTTCGGTTTTATGCCAGGGAGATCGACAATTGAACCGGTGTTTTGTGTGAGATAGGTTGTAGAAAAGTATAGAGAAAAGAAGAAAAACATATGTATGGCTTTTATAGATTTAGAGAAGGCTTATGACAGAGTGTCGAGAGAAGTTCTAATGTGGGCAATACTGAGAAAAGGAGTTCTGGAATTGTATATTAGTTTGATAAAACAGATATATGAAGGCTCAAATATGAGTGTAGAAGTGTGTGTGGAACATTGAAGTATTTTGTGATTATAGTAGGTATGCATCAGGGGTCAGCCTTGAGCTCTTACCTATTTTCTGTTGTAATAGATTGAATTTATAAAGGAAATACAAGACAAGGTACAATGACGCATGATATTGTTTTGATGAGAAAAAATCTGGAAGAAGTTAACAATAGTCTTGAAGAATAAAGAATAGCATTTAAAAGGAAAGGGACTAAAGATAGTAGAAGTAAAACAAAGTATAAGATAGGGAAGACAAGAGTATGAGATAGGAAAAACAGAACAAGACATCTAATGACAATAAGCAGCGACATAATAGGCGAATTTGAAAGCTCTAAGTACCTAGGATCTTTTGTTCAAAAAACCAGTGGCTTTTTGACAAGGATATGAAACATAAGATTAAGAGGAGTGTAGTGTTTTATGAAACAAGATTACAATTGGATTTAAAAGTAAATTCTACAAAAGTGTGTTGTATGGGTTGGTGTGTTGGATGATAGACAATAAAATAGAACAGCTAATGCTTAGGGCAGATGAGTGAAGTGACGAGAGAAAATAGGCTAAGGAATGATTACACAAGGCCTAGGTATAGCTTCGATAGTGGACAAAGTGAGAAAAAATAAACTAATAGATGGTTTGGGCATTTTATGGGATGAGACAAATCAGAAGTAGTAAGAATTGAAATAAAAATAGATATAAGATGAAAGAGAGGGAGAGAAAGACCAAAAAAAGTGTGGTTTGATGCGATTGAGACCTATATGATGATGGGGAGTGTATGTGGTGACAATATAGGAGATCGGGTTGAATGGAAGATTAGGATAAAGGTGGCCAAACTCAAATGGTTAGGAGCAAAGGAGAAGAAAAAAACATGTCTAAACAATCTAAGTTGAAAATTTCAATTTCGTGTCACAGATACCTCACTTGATCATAGTTATTTTATCATACATAATCATCAATAATTTCTTTTTAAATGGTGATACAAACTTAAAAATAAAAACAGATTAACTTCATTCCCATTTTGAGTAGAGCAGGAAATGTATTGGTTTTACAATAATGTTTTTTTTTAAAAATGTTTTCTATAAAAAAAACTATTTACCAAAAATCTTTCTCTGATTCAAGTGTAGCACCATTTATGAAAGAAAATTTTATCTGGGCGGTACTTTAAATAAGTCATTCTTATGATTTTCCAAGTAGATTTCATAATAATTAGGGAAAAATGTATGATAAGTATTATTTTCAATTTTATTTTTTAGTTGTAATTCTGTTAAAAAATTGTGTAGAGACTTGAAATTTGGTAGTACAATTTATATTTGCTTTTTCCAGACATGGTAAAATTTTGAAAATATTTAGCTATTTATTGATATTTTTTTTTTGCGAGTTTATTTCGTAATTTGTATTTAGTACTTGGTAGGTTAAGTTAGGTTAGGTTTACTCAGTAGGTATCTACCCTATGGATAAAATTATTAGGCCAAACAGAAATGCTTGAAAATTTAATTGAGTGTAGGTAATATATAATTTTTTTATAAGAATTTTATTATCAATTTTCCACTCAACTTGTAAACATGTAGATATAACCGAATCCACTGTAAATTGTTTTCATTCGCAAAGATTGAGTATTATGTACAGATACCTTTACATTAAATTCTTCTCTATATCTTACCTTTCCAATTTCTTACCTACTACAGTGGTCCACATATTGTATAAAATATGTCTTTTTTTTTTTTAAAGCTTTTTGTTAATTATACTAAAAACAAGTCTAATTTACTGATCAGACTAAATTCCCCCTCCTCCCCCAAGCCACTTGTTCACTGCAGGGCTAAAATTTGGAGAGTCATTTCCGTACATTAGTGGACTATACGAAAACAATTTTTTTGTTAAATTATACATTTATTTTTCCATATTTATTTCAGTTTTTTTTTTCAGATTTTTTAAAAAATGTTTTCATTATCTTTTTTTTATAATTAATTATGGTTCAATTATAATAAGCTTTGGTACTCTAGGGCATAATATCTTTAATAATTTGTACTTTCTAAATTTTAAATTTGTGCATACTATTTTACAGAAAATAGTTTGCACAAAAATGTTACAATATGTCTGTATATGCATTTTCTGTTTATTAGTAGATATAAATTGTATGCAATAGCATCTACACACTTATACTTACATTTGGGAAGTATAATAATATATTGTGTGTTATAAATATAGTAAGTGTTATGACACTTTCTATGAGAACACAGCATTATTTGATTTATTACACAATATTATATTATTTATTTAAATATATCTAATGGAAGCGTTATTGATTTTCTAGAAATACATTTGTATGTACAATCAACATTTATTTCTTTGCTAATAAAAAATATTTGATGTGTTATAAATAAGAACTGGATTTAATTGCATTTAAAACACATAAATTGCATATTAAAATTATATAATTACACCAAAAAATCTTTGCCTTATCAGTGTTCCAAGATTGATTAGTAAACTAAGAAGTTTTGTTTTTCTTTATTATCTATATTTTTTTTTTGTTTAATAAAAATAGATACTATTGTACTAAAATATATTTCAACAATTTAAGATTAATCAATTTAGCTTATAAAATGTAAGCTATAAATGTATGATATTTATACATAAATGATAGGTAACAAATTGTGGCCCATGCTTGGTAATTTAACAATTATAATTCTATGTTTAACTTGTAAGATATTATTAATATTGTTCAATTGTCCATCAATAAAACATAAAAAAAAATGTAAAATAATATTATGTTATTAATTTACAAATGTAACATTAAAAAATATCACTTATCAATCAAAAATGCTCGTTAAAGTGATAACTAAAGACTAGATTTAATTTCTTTTAAAACGCACAAAAATTGCATATTAAAATTATATAATTGCTTCAAAAATTGCATAATAAATTGCACTATAAAAATGCAAAAATTACATAAAAAAAAAAGATAAATGTTAATTTTTTAAATTAAAATTGATATTTAGATACATTTCTAAATTATTTTTAATAAAATTAAATCTTCTATTACTTAAAATATATTTGTACAAAAAAAAACTATGTTCTACGTCTACACTAGT